TTGAAGGTGGCTTTCAAAGCCTTTACTGATGCACTGAAAGGCTAAATCATTCCTAGAAACATATTTCCTTGCAACATAAAGCAAATCATCAGATTTAGTTTCAAAGCTGCCTACTGTATTACCTGCGGCATATGAGAAATAAATTTTGTCAGCTCTAGCACCAGAATTGCCTCCTCCTGAGCTTGATTCTCTTGGCTGTCTCATGAATACTTAAGTTTTCCATGGGGCCTTTTTGCAATCCTCAGATTTGCAAATGAACCAAGAATCTGTTTGGCAACCTCAACACAGCAAGTTTTGTGCAAAGCTTTTAGTACAATGAACTCTGCATTACATAAAATCAATATCATGCAATGGACGACAGACAAATATATATGTATAGCAACAGAACTGAATCCACCCACCGCAGCATCTCATTTTCTCCTCCATGTCACCCTGCAAGGCAAAGATGTGGGTGCACAAAGAAGCCTTTATTTCCCTTGCTTGCCTCCACCCAGGTCAGTAATACAACAGGGTTCTGAGCCAGCCCCAGATAAAAATCCCACCCTGATCCCTGCAGAGATTTTGCAAGATACAACATTTAACATACATATGACATTAACTACAATGACATCTAAGTGATGTTGACCTCCTGTCCTCAGCCTCACTGATGTGGAACCTACTACTCCCACTTTGCAACCACCAAGCATGATTGAATCTCTTTTCCTGGGTGTTTTAAGGCCATAATAAGGTTTCATAAACCACAGGTTAAAGAAGGCAGCACAGATGCCATACTGATAACCACATTTAGAGGAAATAAGCTCCTTATTTGTCTAACGGTGGAATGTCAGCTGTCCCTAGCACCCAATGTCATGTACCTTTCCCATACCTCCCATATTGGGGTATATCAACCTACTGCTGAAGTCAGTTAAGGCCTGAAAAAATTATTTATTACTGAATTTACTAGATGAAACTCCATTGTGGCCATACTGTGGTCATCAAAAAGAACCTCTTTCTTCAGGTATATAGGGAGCAAAAGAAAGGTGCAAGGGTAGCATAAAACCCCTACAGGACAAACTAGGGCAACTGGTGAAGGAGAAGGAGGACAAAGCTGAGCTCTTCAATGAGTTATTTGCATCTGTGTTCCTAGACACCCCTTGCTGCAGCACTCCTTGATGCAGACCAAAACAAATCTCCCAATTGGATCACAGATAGACGCAGGAGGGACACCAGCCCATAAACTGTTAGTACAGACTTGGTGAAGGGGCACTTGGAGGGGCTGGATGTGTTCAAATCAGCAGGCCCAGATGAACTTCATCCAAGGGTGCTAAAGGAATTGGTCAGTGTCATAGAAGAGCTGCTGGCATGGTTGTTTGAGCACTCAAGGTGTTCCGGTCAGGTCCCAGAGGACTGGAAAAGGGTCAATGTGGTCCCTATTTTCAAAAAGGGGAGGAGGGAGGAACTGGAAAACTATAGGTCAGTTGCTCTCACCTCTATCCTTGGGAAAACTCTGAAAAAAACAATTAAGGATCACATTTGTGGGATCCCAGCAGGGGAAATAATGCTGAAAGGGAATCAGCATGGATTCACTGCAGGTAGATCCTGCCTGACTAACCTTGTTTCTTTTTATGACCAGGTCACAAAATGCTTAGACATAGGAGTCGAGGTAGATGTCATCTACCTAGACTTTAAGAAGGTCTTTGATATGGTATCTCATTCTGTTCTCATAAATAAATTGACAGGCTGTGATGTAGATGATTACACAGTCAGGTGGGTGGCAAATTGGCTTGGGGGTCACACCCAGAGAGTGGTGGTGGACGGGTCGATATCACCTGGATAGATGTGGGCAGTGGAGTCCCACAAGGCTTGGTCCTTGAACTGGTGCTATTCAATGTCTTCATCAGTGACTTGGACGAGGGTGTGGAGAGTATCCTGTCCAAGTTCGCAGATGATACCAAATTATAGGGCAAAGTTAACACACCAGAGGGTAGGGAACTGATCCAGGCGGATCTGGACAGGTTGGAAAAATGAGCAGAATGAAATACGATGCAGGTCAACAAAGACAAGTGCATGCTGCACCTAAGCAAAAAGAATCACCAACACACTTACAGGCTGGGGGATGACCTTCTCAGAAGCACAGCAGCGGAAAGGGATCTTGGAGTCATAGTTTATTCCAAGATGAGCATGAGTCGTCAATGTGACAAAGCGATCAACAAGGCTAACTGCACTTTATCATGCATTAGCAGATGCAAGGTGATGCTTCCCCTCTATGAGGCACTGGCCAGGCCACAGTTTGAGTACTGCGTCCAGTTTTGGGTACTGCACTTCAAGAGGGGTGCGGAGGATCTTGAAAGGGTTCAGAGGAAGGCCACTCGTATGGTCAGAGGCCTGCAGGTAAGGCCCTAAGATGAGAGACTGAGGGACCTGTATCTCTTCAGCCTTCACAAGAGAAGGCTGAGAGGTGATCTTGTGGCTGCCTATAAAGTCATCACAGGGCAGCATGGAACAGGAGATATTCTATTTACTAAGGCACCCCTTAGAGTAACTAGGAAAAATGGCCACAAATTGACTGACAGCAGATTTAAGTTGGGCATTAGAAAGAACTTCTTCACAGTAAGGGTTACCAGAAGAGACTGGACAAGCACTTAGCTTGGTCTGTCTGCCCCTAGCCCTCTTTCCTGCCAAGGGCAGGGGGTTAGACTCGATGACTTACTGAGGTCCCTTCCAACCCCAACATCTATGAATAAGAGTACCATCAAATGGCATATGTACAGCTTGGGATGCTTATTCTCCAAAATACATCTATTAAGCCACATTCATTGATGTCTACCAGCTTTAGGTAATGCATGGTAATATTAATTGCCTAAAAACCTCCACAGCACCAACAGATGAATTGCCAACACTGATCTGGTAAGCCACAGACCTCAACCATAAGGAGTAGCCAGTTTCTACATAGCAACAGCAATCTGCCACTATTTACTGATAGGGCTTCTCTCACTTGGAGGTAATTTAAACAGGTCTCCTTCTCATGTTGAAAATCTGGAGTCACTGATAGTTATTCCAGGTTTGTGCGACTATATAACTCTGCCACATTTTGTTAGTTCTCCTCCATCAAAAATACTTGTCTACACATGGACCACAGCATTTGCTTCATGGGACTGGTGCCTTCTTCAACAGGTCTCTCACAGATAAATTCATGGGTACAACTCAAAGTGCCTCATCTGAATATGTCTGCAGCTTTTTAAATGGACTTCTTCATGATAGCCTAGGAAGGGCAGACAATTCTCTCTCAAAATCCTGCACACAGTCCTTAGAGAAGCTCAAGTTTAGTCTGTGTATTGCCTATACTGAGAGCAGGGGTGGGCAAAATGCAGCCCGCAGGCTGGGTGTGGCTTGCCAGGCCATTCTATCTGGCCCGCAGGACCCCTAAAAAGTTTAGAAAATTCATATTTATCTGCCCCTGGCTGCCAGTCACGCAGCCCTGAATGGCTTGCCAAAACTCAGTAAGCGGCCGTCTGTCTGAAATAATTGCCCACCCCTGGTGTAGTAGGCTGTGGACCCAGGTCCCTGGTACTGCAGCCCTGGCATCTAGGGGCCCCACCAGCAGGCTGGTAGGCATCCAAATTGTTTTAAAATTTTTAATATATCAATAAAACATTATGTTAAACTGATACCTACATACATGTGGATTTTGGGGGTTTTAATCAGAGAACTTGCAATTAAATTTTATCAGAGAATTTGCGATTTTTAAACAGAGAAAATCAGAATCCTTGAAGATGAACTAGTTACTGAGTTTACTGTACAGCTGTCTGAACAGGCTGATTGCTCACAACTTATCTTGTGGGTCAGGTCATACGTAGCAGTGAAAGGGCTGCTACATGTAAAGAAAAAAAAAGAAGTTGAGGGGAACTAGAGAAGGAAGGAGTACATTAAGAAACAAGTTAAAATGAACATGTTTTAACACTAGATTGACAAGTCAGCAGGAGTCATCACATACCATGAACTTCACTTCACAAAAAAGCAGCCATTAAGTAAAACCATAACATCCTATTTTATAAGGGAGAAAAATAGGTTTTTGTTTATATTCAAACTGTATACGTCTGTGTAAAAGAAGAAAATCCAAGCTACCTGACCAAAATAAAAATGCTAGAAATGCATTGCACGTGTAATGCCAATTCACAAATACTGCAGCACTGTCAGTTTAATGTCAGTAAATGGAAGAGGGAGAGGAACAAGGATTTGTGTGTGTGATACATTACATTAGACTAATTACATGGTTGGAATAGGATGCATTGTTTCTTAATGTACTCCGTTCCTCCTCTAATTTCCTGCAACTTCTGTGTTTTTTTTCTTTAGGTAGCAGCCTTTTAACTGCTGTACTGCACTGCATTTGAAAAACTGGCAAAATCTATTCCAACCACACAGCTGGTCCAATAAGAGAGATCCCGCACAAGAATCCTTGACTCTTTTATATTCCCTGGAACATCACAGCTACAACACTACTCCAAAACTAGGAGAGAGAGAAGCACTATTCCTTTAAGACAAAAGTCACAAGAGAAATTTGAAAGAGAACAGGAAATACCAGCTATAAAATAACCCACATATTTACCCCAAATGAAATTGAGAAAATTGCTGTTGTCTAACTTTCCTGATACATGAACGAATTTCTTATTTGAAATCAACAGTAGTAAGTTCAGTTGATCACCTTAGATCAGAACAATCACGGGCCTTGCTTCCCATTCTAATGAGATACTTGGTCTGTTGGCTATATTTTCAGCATTTCATTTCAATAACTAAATTTTCCATTGCACTTTGATTTCTGCTCACTTGTAGCTCATTCATAATGTTCAGTTATACATAAATAAACTATTTCTTGGCACCTACATTAACATGATCGGTAATAAGAACAAAATTTAACTCAGGCCTTTTTTTTTTATTTCATTTATAGGCCTCAGAAAATTAGTATTTTTATGTAATAGGCACTCCTACTTTGCAATGGGATCACTTCATAACCAAAGACTTACCCGGGGAAATTATGTAAAAGAAATTCTTGAACTCATCCATCCAGACTTCTGCAAGCCGCCTATTATTTTTGTTAATAATCTGCCCTGTGCCTCCTGGAAAAGTATAAGGAGTGGCTTTTCGGAATACATGTCCAACATGTGAGCAGGTTACAATTTCCAAAGTGCCCCCACACTGCCAAATCTGAAAGCAATAGGACAGTTATTGCATAATTCAAGGTGGCTACACATACTTTAAACCGGTTCTTAGTTCTCATGTCTTTTCAACCTGAAAAATTCTATCACCCCGGGTCTTTAACAAACCTAATACTATTTACTAATGTAATAAGCCAGTTTCAAACTGACCAGAGTAAGGATGTTTGGAGGGTAGAGAGGCAGACTGAGTCACGCCAAGTGTATGAGTACTGAGATGTCAGTAAGAAGCTGCCTGGAAGTGATTAGCAGAGCTGACAGTGTGAAGCAAAAAAAAAAAAATTTGAATATGAAATGTAATAAAGCGGCTACATTTACATATTGCTAAGAAGACTTTAATATTACATTTTTGTAAAATGTAATGTTAAATCCAGAAATTGTTTTAAGATTCTGGAACTTAAAAGTTTGAAAGACATTTGCAATTTTATTTTGGACCCCAAAAATGGGACCTCACACTTATAAATGTTTTTAGCTATTTTGTAGGTATCTACATAGTATTCTGAGCTGATAGGTAAAAGCAAGGAAAGGAATTACCCAAATAATGTATTTGTTGTCATCCATAGGAAGATACTGTAGAAATATGGGCAACACTAGATAGGACCCCAACTCAGAAGAAAGGTACAGCTACCAGGTTGTAAATCACTGAAAGAAGTTTTATAATGGAAATCACACACTGACCTTATACTAACAGGTTAAGCATTCATCACTGATCTAAACCTTACCTTGTCTCCCCAAGCAGCTTCTCTACACATAGATCACTCTAAACACAAATTTTAATTGATTATCTTTTAAAATGAAAATCCAATATCCAAATTTTTTGTCTCAAGGCTTTGTAGGCTGTTTAACTGTCATTTTCCTTTCTTGATAACAAGGCAGTTTCATCTATATAATTTTGCCAAAGAACAAAAGAACGAATTATCCCTGCTTGGATGTTAAACTGTTGCAGTCATTGTCCCCTTACCATTTTTACACCTTGAATTATTAAAAAGAGAGAAATTTAATGCCAAAGCAATGTTTGCTTACCCTGAAGGAAATTTCTAGATTCTCTCCACCCCAAATGTCCATTCCAGCATCATATGTTCCAATTTCTTGGAAGTAATCCCTGTCTATTGAAAAAAGGCCTCCTGCCATTGTTGGTGTCCTGAAAAGATGTAAAAGACATATTGAACATCCATGTAGAAAATATAAGCCAAACAGATGTTTACAAACTTTACTACAAAATCCTTTCTATACTGTACTGTAGGGGGGGGGCGAGGGCAGCGGCTCTCCTTCGTGGGCTGCACATGTGCTACCTGCCTGGCCGCAGGGTGGAGCTTGCACATGGTGGCCACTGCCATCCTCCACCCCATGCTGTGTGTAACCCCCACTACCCCCACCAGATGTGTACCAAGAAGGGGTACACTCCTTAAAAAAAGGCTGAAAACCCCTGCTGTACTGAATTTTGAAAAGACCTCATTAAGTCTATACTTATCCTTTGTTTCTTTCCTTCAAGCCTATAACTTTCCCTCCTTTTATTTCATACCTGCATCCTATTGCACTAAACTAAATTAATTCTTGGAGAAATGGATTGCCTGTGAGATTAATGATATATAAAGCCTACAGTCCCCTGTCACAGTTCAATGGCTTTCGTGTCTATATTACCACCAGTTCAGGTCCGAAAATAAGTTACCAATCTTACAATGGTTCCACTTCAACAGGTGTTTTCCTCACATCTCAGTTAGCACTCATTAGCTGATGAGTTTCAGCAGAGGGAACAACTTAATAGGCACAGAAGTTACATCACTCCTCCTTAAAACTGCTATTTACAGAGCCAGTGGCATGGAAATTACTACTATTTGCAGGATAGGTAGAAGATTTCAAACTACAAAGACAGTATAAGATTAAAAAAGTTCTAATTTCTTGAAGAAATGTGGCAATAATTTCTTTACAGTCTATTTCAAGAGACAAAAAAGCATAATAGTCTAAGAATGATTGGTTCCATTGCTCATTATCACCGCTTCCATAAAAGCAAAATCTATAGTCAGAGTTACATATAGAGTTCCTTTATTTTTAGTTATTTAACATTTCTAAAAACATGAGAGCTTTCAAGTGTATATGTATATATGGAAATTTATATTTATATATGTAATTTTATATTTATATATGTAAATTCTCCTAAATCTCAATTTCTTAGGTCAATGCTATCCAACTGGTAGCCTTAAGGCTGCATGCAGTCCCTGAAGGATTAGACTGTAGCAGCCGCAAGGGGGCTGGAGAGCCCAAGCTATGCAAATGCCTGCCTGCACTACAGGTGGGTGGTGCATGTGGCTTGAGGGGGTGCGGACTTACATGGCAGGGGATAGCTGAGGTACCTGCGCTGGGGAGGAAGGGGCAGATCATGCGACTGGGAGAAAGCAGGGGAAGGGGTGAGGGGGGGGGTGGGGACTGAGCTGCTTGTACTGGTTACAGGGGAATGGTCAGCCTTCACAGCACATGCAGCTCAGGGTTGTGGGGGGGACAGAAGACTACCAACATTGTGATGAGGGGAGGGGGCACCTATGTGGAGTGTGGCCCTCAGCTGCCCAGAAGTTAGACAGCTGTGTGTTACATGACCAGATAGGTATTCTCATCTCACATACACAAAAGGATACTTTGACTGCATTATTCTAAATTATACGCTTTTATCATTTTAGCTTACATACTATTTCTAGCATCTTTAAAAAATGGTCTAAATATTTATGAAAAAGATGCCAAATGGACACCCACAATTAAGTGTAAGTGCAACTAACTGTCCCTGCAACTATACACAAAACAAATTAGGTTTCTAGCAAACATTACTTTAAAAAAGAGAAAGATACAAGCTCTGAAAAAAATATTTTATTTCTGAACCTCTTAGTAGCATAAAAAGTAAAAGTGCTTCCTAAGTCAAAGTAAATTAGCTTCCCTTGTACCTAAAAAGACATTAGAAATAATCATTAGACAACATTAGAAATACAACAGGTCATTATATACTGGTTTTATTTGTTTCATAGTATCAAAAATTCAGTTTTCTAGAGTACATGGGAGGCAAAAGAATAAGGTAAACATCATTAAAACCTTGCATCTCAAATGTAAAGTGTGTA